CACGATGTGGCGGAGAGGGTTAAAAAAAAGAAGAAAGAATAATAAAAACGGGAAGAGCGCACGGTCGTCGAGCCGCGCGTTGTTTCGTTTTATTAATTAAAAAGGGGGCAAGCGCGCGCGGATGCATCCTCGACGGAGCACGCGGCCATCTGTTATGTCCGTTAATTTCTATAATGTCCCCGGCAGTGGCGAACAATGATGGTAGGCTACTCCTTAAACCGTATTTACTACCAGACACGGCACGTGTATACAGAGTGTCCCAAAATTATTGTACAAGCGAGAAGTGAGGGGTTCCTGACATTATTTGAAGTAACTTTTTCCTTAGCGAAAATGCAATCCGTGGTTTCGCTGTCTCTTATACACATCTAGATGTGTATAAGAGACAGGTGAGGGGTTCCTGACATTATTTGAAGTAACTTTTTCCTTAGCGAAAATGCAATCCGCAGCCTCGTTTACGAGTTATTAACGAAAAACAATGACCAATGAGAGACGAGATCAGCTGGCGCGAAGCAATCGAGTCAATGAGCGGAACGTGCGCTCGTTGGTTGGGCCGCCTCGCACCAGCCGAGCACCCCTGTCATTGGTCACTGTTTTTCTTTAATAACTCGTAAACGAAACCACGGATTGCATTTTCGCTCAGGAAAAAATTACTTCAAATGGCCTCAGGAACCCCTTATTCTTCTCTTGTACGATAATTTTGGGACACCCTGGAGAAAGTCCAAGAGTCAAATGAAGGAAAGATAACCGTTTACTCTTACGTTACGCAAATTAAAAGATGATCGTTCAAAATGGCTGACGTGGCATCGGACTTCAAGTCCAAACCTTAGATGCTATCGATCTTAAATAATGTGCTTCTCTCGGTGTTCAGTGACTATGTTGAGCACATACATATGTAATCGTGGATTTTTATGCAAAATGAAAATGTTATGTATAAGAGAGAAGAAGAAACAGGAACTGCATAGACATCTATACCCGTTTTGAATAATTTTAACGAGTTCTAAATAATGCAATCAAATTGTTCAATTTCTCTAATAGAATCTGTGTTTCATGTTTCACGTACGCATTTGTCCTATAAATGCATAAAACCTGCAGTCTAATAATAAGTCTCCATTATTGTAACATCCGATTACATTATATAGAAGAGAGTTTGCAAAAAAATGACCATAAGATAAGAAGCAGACTGACGAAAACTATTTTATTTGCTAATCAGTAATTAGCTATGACTTCTTTAAAGTAGAATAAATTATAAGAAAAATTATTACTGATTGAACATTATCAATATCTCAACCATAGTTTAAATGCATTCTGCGAAATTATAATTCTCAAAATATGCACATTTCATATTCAACGATGTGAAGTTGTTCTCAGAATGATAAACATTATCGCATATTCATTAATGTCGAAAGTTGTAACGTCGAAGGTCTGGTATTCTGTCGAAATTGCAGATCAGTAAATTCTCCCTCATTGACTTTCAGCTTGGAAACAAAAATGGACAATTTGGGAAGAGGAGATACGATTATTCGAGCCTTGCGGCTCATTTTTATAGTTTTTCACAATCTGTAAGTATAAAAATAACCTTCTCACATTGTCCATTTCTGTTTCCAAGCTGAGGGTCAATTAGGGAAAATTTACTGTACGTCATACTTGCATAGCTTATATTTTGTGCATTCTGACACTACGTACAAATGATTTTATCGTTGCTTCAAGAAAATTATCCGGAGTCGTGTCTATATAGGCTGCCCCAAAATAATGTTACTTCCCAGAAATGAAGTAACTTTTTCCTTAGCGAAAATGCAATCCGTCGTTTCGTTTACGAGTTATTAACGAAAAACAATGTGACCAATGAGAGACGAGATCAGCTGGCGCGAAGCAGTCGAGTCAATGAGCGGAATTAAGCTTCGAGGCCAAGCTGGCCTCTTATTGGTCAGCGTTTTTCGTTAATAACTCGTAAACAAAGCCACGGATTGCATTTTCGCTAAGGAAGAAGCTACTTCAAATAACCTCAGAAACGCCTCACTTTCCGAAAGTACCATAATTTTGGGACGCCCTGTACAGTACACGATCTAAGGTATCCGTATACGTCGTCAAGATTAGGTATCCACGCGATATAGTAAATCCACGCTGGTCACGCGGTATGCACGGAGTAGCCTACCATCGCTGCATACCGTCACTGATGGCGAATGTAAAACAGGGTGAGAGGGGGGGAGGCAGGGTGACGCGGAATTCGGACACCAAAACGAAATTTGAGCCGTTTTGCGTACGAATAAAGTTGTCGGTTCGTAATTGTAATGCAAGCAGCAAAATCACGTAATCTCTTTGTCGGCGCTATCCGGTATGAAAATTTGCATTCCGACCGCATCTACGAAATTAGATGCGTTCAATCGAATTCGCGAATCAACCGAACCGTCGCCGTCCCCGCCTCCGCGCCCTCCCTTCGGCCTCGCGCCCACTCGAACACCCACACGCCAGCAACACGTACCCTCGGCTACCAGTCGATCGATCTTTAACTACGTGACAATTATTTGCCGCGGTGCCGGCGAGCGATTAATGGCGAACGGAATTTATTTTGGCCGTGTGAGTTCAATTAAGTGGACGCGCAGCGATACGTCTTTCGAATTATATTTGCTGTTGGCATCGCGACGGCGGTGAATGCGGTTCAGTCGATTTTTGCGACTGACGTTGGAGAGTTAGGCGACGGGGTTCCGCGCGGAGGACAAACAGCACTTCGCGGCGCGATTTATGGTAATATCGCGTTATGCAGTTGGACGAGATGATTCGACGTGAACGGAGATTCCGGATAATTACATTGTTCGTTTACTTTTCGGTTCGAACGGCGGCCGGGAAATATGATTAGGCCAGTTCGACTGTGTTATTGTTTTATTGGGAAGATGTGTTCCGGTCGGGGTTGGACGAAAAGTAATCTGATCAACGATTAAAGATTATAACTCGTTATTTATTGCAACGAATTTATAATAATCGGGCAAAAAGTACAGTAATTTCTCCTTAATTCGCGCTCAGATTGCGCACAAAAATGGAGAATTTTGGGAAGAGGAGATACGATTATTCGAGCCTTGACAATCAGTAACTATGAAAACGAGCTGTAATTGGTAGATTGTAGATTTTCTGAATTTATGGGAATAATGAGTTTGTTGAACACAGAATGATAAAGATTTCGAAAGAATTTAAGCAGACTGTTGTATTATTTTCGGTAACTAATAACGAGCCGTAATAATAAAAAGTCGCACTATGAGACACTAAATGACAGAGCGACGTGTCCGCTTTCAAACAGTATATTTCATACCAAACATAAGTTAAAAATATCTGGCGTACGAAAGGTCTAATGTAACGTATTACGTGAATTGCAACCACACATTATTGCAATCACATATTATTTCCAGAATTTTTGTTCATTAATTTCATGTTCTACATTCGTAGCTAGTAACAGTAAATCGAGTCCGATGAAATATAAATTCTAACAAAGTCGATCGTAAACTCTTTATACAGGAAGTGAACATTTTGACGATAGTAGGAGCCTTCGATCGAATTCCTGTTTTTCACGAATTCAATCGTAAACATACGAATCTGCATAAAAATCTGCGGACTAGCGACGAAGTTCACTGAACTTGAAATTTACGAATCGGAGGCCACCGCTAACCACCGTCTGAACAGCTCTGTTTAGTCTCTCTCTCACTCTTTTTCACGCACACATACACACCCAGCCTAAGATCCCGTCATAAATCCTTCGACGGCTGAATGGCGCCTCGCCATTCACCTTCGACTCCACTTAGAACACATTGACGCTAACATCGTACTTTAGAAGCCAGAACTAAAATGTCGACCGCGAAAAATCTGGTGTTGGTGGAAATTGACTCGTTATTAGCCGTCTCCGACGCTGTTAAAACTGCGGTCGCGCGGCGAAACAACGCGAGCCGCGTATTTTCACGCTTGAATTATTGCTGTTACAAATTTGTTGTTGATTGTGATATATTCTGACTTGTAAAATAAGCTTAGTTTGTCGTTGCCATACTAATCTACAGAATGATCGCAAAAGCATTTTTGGACGTTCTTTCATGTTGAATTCGAATGTAAGGTTTGTGAAACCGAAAAGAAAGCAATAAATCTGTTGTGTCTAAAACTGAACGAAACAATTTATATTGTTTTTAGATGTCAGAGAGTCTAGTTTACTAAACAATGTCAAAAAACTTGTTTCAAAAAATCACGATTAATTGGAATGACAAAAAAGAAATAGAAGTATCTAGAACGAACATTTAAACAATACATTTTGTTTGTATTTTGATTGATCGAAATTTGTTCATGTTCCTATGAGCTACAAACAATTAAAGATCGCGAAAATTGCTGGTTTCCACGACTTTCCTCCGATAACATTAAGAAAAAGTAAAACAAAAATGCGTTTTTTATACAGTTGCTTCTATGCAATCGAACTGTCCAAGCTGGGTCCATTCATTATTGACGTGTAAAATAAGAACAAGCGATGTTAATTTTTTATTTACCATTTTTATGTCAAAAATAAACATCAGTGGCCTGTGAGACCGCTAATAGTAATTATGTAAGTTGTAATAGTATAATGAGTCGTATAATAATATAATAATAGTATAATAGTATAACAGTATAATAATAATAAGTCGTTAAGGGTTACAGTAAATTCTCCCTAATTGACGCTCAAATTGGACAATTTGGGAAGAGGAGATACGATTATTCGAGTCTCGCGGCTCGCTTTTGACAATCGGTGACAATAAAAAAGGGTCGCAAAGCTCGAATAATCGTATCTCTTCTTCTCAAACTATCCATTTTTGTGTAAAATCTGAGCGTCAATTAGGGAGAATTCCCTGTAATGGGCAATGTTAGACCGTTCAAACGGATACAAAAGAAAAAGATGAAATGAAAATTGAGAAAGCATGTTAGAAAGGTGTCGAAGATAAAATGTTTCAGGCGGAGAAAAATTCTTCGTTAACAGTGGACATATTTTACTCTTTTTTCAGGCAGTTGTCAGGGAGCTAAACAGACTGGGGATGCTAGTGGACCTCTCTCATGTCTCGACAAGGACTATGAGGGCGGCCTTGCAGACGACGAGGGCACCGGTGATTTTCTCTCACAGTGCTGCCAGGGCACTCTGCAATTCCACTAGAAACGTGCCAGACGACGTGCTCAGAAATCTGGTGAGTTTCCGTGTAACCACGTCGACACAGAAACGCCTGGGATATGAAAATGCGATGGAAGGCGTGAAATGGTTAAACCAATTTTGATATTTGATCACGCGAATGTTACGCGCTCTTTCTCCCCTTACACGGAGTATCTCGGAATTAAGAGATCAGGGAACATCCACGTATTCTTCGAACGAGGGAAGATACAGGGCATTGGGTAGAGTATTCCACACCTGCCGGTGCAATTAAGGAGATTGAAATTCTACGTTCTCGCGTGAAGGAGAGATGGCGATATATGCAGAGTGTGCCGATAATTAGTATCGATATATATATATATATATGTATATTGAATAATATCATATATTATAATAATATCGTATTTTAAATATCAGGAATAAAATATATCGATATTATTCATATCGATACGTGTCATTAAATTAAAATTTATATACAAGTTTCATTTATATATATATATATATATATATATATATATAAAACGAAATTAATAAATAACATAATCATAAAATAATAAACACAATTATAAAACATAGTTGCATTTACTCGGACCTTTCTACATTTTTATTATAATTTATGCTTTAATTCAAATATTTATTCAACTATTTCCTACAAAAGTGTGTGTATCTTCTCAATTTCACTAATTTTTTAAAAGTAGAATCGTTAAATCGCTTGTTTTGATCGGTATGATAAGTTTAGTGTTACAATTAAGCATTCTATGAATCATTTTCAAGGATACACTTTTAAAATATTGTGTTAAAATCTGAAATGTGAGCAGAAATGATTTAACAAGGAATAACAGACATTCTCGTACCTTTGAATTTAATTTTCTAATTGAATAAAGCTGTTCTTTAACACTTACTCGATTATTTAATTTCTGGCAATTGATTCAAATTTGCATGTGCTTCATTAAGATTTGCAGAAAAATTGACGCGTCTAGAAGGGGTACTTCAAACAAATATATTGAGAAAATTGGAAAATAAAATCATAATCGAGCCCGAACATACTTAGTGATATTTTTGCGGAAAAGGTCAGATTGTAAATACATGCTCTTTTTATTTTAAGCAATAATTTACTGCTGTCTATTCCATAATATTAAAACAAAATCGGCATGAAATAACGCAGGAGCAAATATTTTCTTAACATTGTTTCTACCGATCTTTCGTATACACGTAAATACTTTTATTTTTGTAATTTTTATTGAAGAAGTGAAACAATTAATTAAGAAAAGCCTGATCGAACTTAGGAAATTATTAAAATTAAAATTTCATCAGATTAAATTCGATCCCTTCGGTAATAATACTGTTTATTTTTCGACCAGAATGTTTCATGAAAAAAAACCGAGGACTGTCCGTTCCGACGTCGATTTTCCCCGATATTTCGTTCTTATCGATTATGCAAAATATCTCGCGTCTGTAATAAATTCCGCGAGACCTAGTTTCAGCGGGATATCTTGCAATTAAATTTCGAATCGCAGCTTCGTTCGCCCGTCATATTCCGCCGTTAGTTATCACATTAAGTCGGAGCCGGGTTGTCAACCGTATCCTCGCCAAACTTTCGTCAGACGTTTCCGCGAAACCCGGACTCTGAAACAACAGCGAAAAGGAGCAACAGTCGGATCTCAATTAGCAAATGAACTAAGCTCGCATAAAAGAACAAGCCGGAGAGGCCACTGTAAAAGAGCGGCCAGAAAAAAGGAAATAGAAGAGAACCGAGAAGAAAAGGAAACAATGTCACGCGAAGCTTCGTACTCAGCTGGTGGTAGCGAACTTGGGGATGAGCAAAGGAAAAAGCCGAAGGACATGTCGCGAAACGAGGGAAAAAAGGAGGGGAAAGAATTGAAATGAAAGGAGGAAAATCGACGGGTACACTTCGCTTAGGTATACGCCATTCTGCCGCTACAGATGCGCGAAACATTGCGGAACGGAACAAAGGAACAACTGCCTTCTATTATGAATAGGTTTCGTACACTCGTAATTGTGGAATAATAGGCTGAGGTAAATGTGAATGTGGCCACGTTCCTGTCACCGACACCGCTTCACGGTTAACAGTGGCAGTTACGAACAGGAACCCCAACTGCTCTAACCGAAACGGAAAAAGATCGTGGCACAATAATTGTTTGTTCGATTGAAATGTTTTTTCGTTGCATGTAACGGTTTCAAATAGTGGAACAACATTGTTCCTTTGTCGGTAATCATTATTCGTGTGGAAAATTGATTTTGGTTGCTCAGAGTAATTAACCACGAGAAAAATTTGAATTTTGATCATTCGTTATTGTTATCGCCAGAAAAATTCATTTCTGTCGCTCCTGACAGTTATTAATTAAGAAAACAGTTTTGACCATTTATAATAATTATTAAAAATTAGAAAATCAAATGGAATTGATGTAGCAAAATTATTTTCTATTGTTCATTTAGAATAAAGGCTAAATACATTGTAAATCATTTATTACAAAGGAAGAAATTTCTGAAACTATAATATCACAATAATTTAAATTACCAGGGCCTGAAAATTCACTTAACGTTCTAATATCGATATAATAATGTATTACGGTTGTGATGAATGATAAAAAAAAACGCCGTTACCTCAAATGTTTCGATAAATTATGTATTAAATTATATATTAAATTGTATATCAACACATATACAACAAGTTCGATCTTTTCCATCCATTGCTCACCGAAACTTACAAATTAAAATAATTAAAATATACATTTCGTTATCATCATTCACGTCCAAATTCATGTTAGCCTTATTTCTATCATATTTTCCAAATACTTCAAGATTCATCAAATATTAAGGATAACATTTCTCAATCATTAATCAAAAGAAACTGATCACATTTGTTTCACAGGTTACAGATTTACCAGGCTCCTTTATTAAACTGCTAACCTCTTCCAAGGTTATTCGCACTGCGATCCCTTTTTGGTCCATTTGTCTCCCATAAATTGAATCAAAGAAACCACATACGTTCTCAGATATCGTTCGAAAGCGGCTCGAATGATTTCGTTCTTTTTCCCCCAAGAGATTCGCGACACATTCGAACGGCAAAAATATTCTAGGTGAAAACTGCGCGAATCAACGGGAACCGGTCTCGTTATCTGGGTTAACGGGTCAATTCGGTATCTGGGTCTAATCGACTCATTAAAACCGTCTCATTGAATGAGAGAACAAATTACGAGAGTAATATATTTCTTTTTGGTCATAGAAAAGCTATCGACGAGATTCGCTTTTTCGCCCGGCCGCGCTATTCCGTCACTCTCGTCTATCGATATCACTGCGCGCTTATCTCGAGCAATCTGCGGGAGGGAAACTCGCTGGGGATTCGTTGAGTGCTCATCATCGGTCCCTTGATACGTACGCGTAATGGGTCCCTACTGTATTCCTGGAGCGCAGTGCATAAGCTTATCTAGAGGCATTACAGCACCGTGAAAGACTAGAACTGGCAAGAGTGCACTCGCCGGTTATACAATTTAATCCTGCGATTGCAGCCGGCTACCGCATACACCGATTGACCGATCGCAGAAATGTGAATCTGAGAGTGGTAAACCGGTCTCCGCCTAGTTTCGCTGGTTCCTTTCGACAGCCGGTTGTCGCGCACTTGCGCGAACTTTTATCTGCAGCAATTTGTATTTACGTGCCGGCGAGCCCGGACACGAGACACCGCGGAACTGGTCGACAGAACTCGACTGAAAGACGGAAAAAATGTTCGATCGGCTTTCCACCTGGAAATCTATTAACGATCGGCCGTTTTCGAGAGCACCGTTCACCGGAGGTCAACCATTCCTGTTACAGAGTTAGGACACGTTGTCGCGGACAAGAGTTTACTCGTATGTCAAAATAACGGCCGGTAAAGAGTAAACATTTTATTGATCTAAGCGTTCGCGGCTTATTTTACAGCGGCACGAATTGTGAGGGAACAGCGGCGAATTTTGTCTCGACTGCATAAAACAAGAAAAGAGATAAAAATGTGCCAGCAAGATTCTCGACTGTCTTATGCAGCCTGAAAGCTCTCGGAAAAAGTACATTAGTTTCGAGCAAAAAGACAACTAGCTCACAGCTTTCAAAATAGTTCCTTCATCGTTTTACAAGCTCCATCTACCTTGAAGATTCTCAGCCCCTATTTTACTACCCCGCGCGCAGTTTTACTATTTAACGCTCGGATAGCTGGCCGGCACATTTGGTCTCAGAGTATAAATATTGTTATTTAACTATCTAGCCTCTGACAATTCATTTAAATTATTGTATATTTCGTTGAGATTGTATTCTAGTCTAGAACGCATTTTTTGGTAGTTTTCCTTATAGAACATTTGCGTGTTTCATATTTATTTGTTACCGTTTCAACAATATTCGCAGATTTTATTATATTCGCACAATATTATTACTATAACAAGAAATAGTGAAAATTGATGGTAATACAGAACCCCGTGGGCAATCGTGTAGCAAACAGATGGTTGTCATGGTACCGAACGTTCTATTGGGTTGGCAACTAAGTAATTGCCGATTTGTTTAATGAAATAAAAAATTTTTACAAGTACAAGTTACCGATTAAACTTGAGGAAACGTAAACTGCCCGTCGAACCGCCGCTGCTTTACTGTAACTTCGCGAACGGACTTGCATATTCCGGATTCTCTTCAATAAGAATTATTTTTCCTGTATTCCGATGCGTCCTGCGTTCGTGACAAAAAAGAGTAGCTGTAATTTGGAATAATATTGGGTTGGCAACTAAGTAATTGCCGATTTGTTCAATGAAATAAAAAATTTTTTTTCACTTGGAGTGAAGTTTAATCTGTAATGTATTTTCCATTTTGTTCGATGACCTATTGCCATCTCCCTGACAACTTGAAAATTCCACGCTCGTAGACAGTCTGATCCTTTTCGGCCAAAAACTGAGTTCAGTGAGATTTTACAGCGTCATCATCGTTAAAAGTTTTACCACGAAGGGAGTTGTCCAGGGATCGAAATAAGTGGTAATCCGATGGCGCGAGATCAGGGCTATA